TTCCCTTCTGCCCAAGCTGCCGAGAAGGGCCCCTCACCAAAACGCCGACATATTGCTTTCCTGTCAGAGGAGGAGGAGGAGGAAGAGGAAGAGGAGGACAATACGCCTACCCCAGTGTCACTCATCACACAAGATGGGACGCAGCAGGTACAGAGACTAGGACTATTCAGAGGCTGCAGTATGGTGACTAGTGTTGGTCCTACCTCGGCCACTCATATGCATTCATCGTCCTCTGGTGCAAATATTCTGGCTTTTCTTTTCCCATTAAATAGAGAAGGTTGGGTCCTTGGTTTGGGGTGTCCAGTGGGTGCTGGGCTTCATCTTAGCGTTCACCTTGGAGCTCTCTTCTGCTGAGAGAAGAAGCTGTGTGGACAGCCATGGACAGCAATAGGTGCAGCCATTAGTCAGGGACAGAGGCAGAGCAGCTACACCTACAGCCTCAAGACAAGGGGACACTACAGCTAGACAAGACTTTACATGTGCTCTGAGCACATGTCCCTTGGGAACTGAACAGCCTCACATTTGCTGTAGCCTGTTGGGCAGTCATCAGATGGCAGCACCTTTCAGTTTCTGCTGAGGTTGGCTGGGTTTGGTCATTATGTTTTTTTGTAGTATGTAAATGACAACCCAGCAGCCAGTCACCACTTCCACCTGCCGTGCTTGTGAAGCAGCCAGCTGCTGCAGGGCCTGCAAACTGAATGTAAGAGCTGTTTCTGCAGCACAAGTTTAAGGAAGCAATGGCTTCTCAGTTCCCTTGTTACTTCGGTGCCACAAAAATGAAATGAGCTGCCCTCACGAGCAGGGTGGGAGGGGTCTGTGGTCAAGCGGTTTCAGCTGGAGGCCACAGAGAGGACTCCTGGGTTGCATTCCCAGATGTAGGATTGACTCTGCCTTTGGTCTTATGAAAGTTGCTTCACCTCTCAATGTCTTGGATGCGCATCTGTAAAATGAGTAATGAGATGTCTCCACTTGCTGGGAGCTGTGCTGCTAAAATGAGGAATTGCTGGCACAGAAGGCAGTAGAGAAAAGGAAGGTGCTGGCAATGCCAGTAAGTGGAAGAATGTCTGGGTCTGGCTTCTCAGTCCTCACTCCAGAAACCCCTTTGTTCTCCCTCTTGGGTGTCAGTCTCACCTCATGGACCTGTCAGAGGCTGACCTTCTGTTTCCCCTCCCAGGTCAGTCTGTCCCATGAGGACCTACAGGTGCTGGGCAGTGCAATCAGCATGGTGACACAGGGCGGGACCATCACCGTGCCACAGGGAGACCTCGCGGCTTCTGGCACACATACTGTGACTGTGGTCAGTGCAGACGGCACCGAGGCACAGCCGGTAGGAGCAGGAGTGGAGCCTTCCCGATCCCTCACTTGGAATACTCTGCCTGGGGCACGTTGCTTGTAAATGGATTTATTTTTGCCTTGTGTCTTCCAGATTACAATAGTCGCCCCCGGGGCTGTCCTGTCTGAAGAGTCAGCTATAGCTTCTCTCCATCACCAGCAGGTGGCATTGCTAGCGACTGCCAATGGCACTCATATTGCAGTGCAGGTACTGTCTCAGAACCAGGCCAGGCCTGAGCCCTGTTCTCTGTGCACCTGACTCTACCCAGATCCCCCTTCCATTCTCTTTACTGCACCTCTGCTTGGTAGCTGTACTGCATGGATTACTCGTGGCAAGCTTGAGAGCATGCAGCACACCATAACTCCTCTCCTGCACCCTTCCTCCTACCCCAGCACCTGTGTTCCTCTCTGCTGTGCTTCCCCAGCACTCAGGTTCCTCTTTCAACCACTTCTCCTTCCCTTTCACCCCTTCATTCTGCCCCAGCCTCTCATGGATTGTTTAGGAGAATGAAGTTGTGTGCGTCTTTCCTCCCCTCTAGCTGGAAGAGCAGCAAAGCCTGGAGGAGGCCATCAGCATGGCAACAGCAGCAATGCAACAGGAGACTGTGACACTGGGCACAGCTGTGTCTGAGAACGGGTGCTGAGGCGGCACTGATGTATGCATAGGCAGGCTCGTGCTGAGCCAGGGCAGCCAGGACTGGACTCTTGTTTTCGGGTGGGGATTTCCCTGCCAGTTGCTGCGCAGAAGACAAACCGCAGTGTGCAAATACAAGGAGGGGTCCATGCTGTCTGTTACCTGCACCCGGCCAGGTTACCTGGCAGGCCGTGAGAGCACATGCAAGAGAGGTCTGGGCTGCCTAGGGATCCTTTTTAAAGGACTTGCCCATGAATTTCTAGGACATCTTTCTAAGAAGCCCCAAAACTGTCCTGGGATCCAACCTGTAGCTCAAGGATGAACCTGCTCACTCTCCATGGCGAAGGACCTTCCCTAGGCCTGAAGAGGAGGAAACTCTTTTATCCCATTGTTAACTTGTTTGTGGCCAGGATTTCCAAGGTGTGCTGATCTGCCCTGTGCATGGAGCCGCAGAGATCCCAGCAGCAAGGGCCAAGGGGAGGCAGCCAGTGGTTCAGAGTGGTTCAGTGGCTCCTGCAGTCTTACCCCAAAGCCTGTAGGAATGGGCACATGGTCTGAGCATCCCTCCCCCTCCTGGGAAATTCCTGCACAAGTGGCAAGTAGGCAGCATCTGCACCCAAGCAATAAAGCACCATCAAAGCACCCCAGGCTGTCCCAGTCCCAGTGTTTTGAGCGATGATATCCCCACCTCCCCACGCTGGAAGTCAGTCTGTCCCCAGCATGCAGAAGCAGAACCCCATCAACTTGGCTGCCACAGCCCTGCCCCCAGATCACCCGTTTTGACTGAATGGCCAAGTTACAGATTCTGCTGCTGTGGGGCAGGCCCAAGTACTCCCTCTGCATGAGCTCACCAACACTTCTCTGGGACTGAGCTGGGCTGAGTTGGTACATAATGACTTGGAATGAAACAAATTAAAGTTTTTATATCCTTTCCACGCTCACTCGTCCCGTCTCTGGAGCCCACAGGGGGCAGGAGTGGGCTCACTGCCTATTTAACAGAGCTCCTAAACATCCATCCTTCTCTTCCTTCCTCAGCATTAGAGGTCTCCAGACTGCTGAGGCACTGACCAGTGTGCCAGGGCCTTAGCACTAGGGGATGTGGATACGAGCGGGCGCACGCAGCTGGACAGCCCTGCCCAGGCATCCCATGAGCCACTCAGTGTGCTCTTAGCATCTAGGTCTGGGCAGGTCTAGTTGGAGACGGGCAAGGTCAGTGAGCCTCATTTTCTGTCCCTGCCCTTGGACTAAAACTGTTACGGTTCTCTTCCCCCTGCTGCCTCCATAACAGGAATTTCTGCTTCTCTCTCTGATGATACCCTGCCTTGTACCCATTCATTTGTTTTCTGTCTCCTGCAGCTGGCATGGTCCTGGTCATTGTAGTTCCTCACTGATCAAGTCTATCCTTCACAATGCACTGAGGTAGAGCTGGATTTTCCAGCTGGAGGAACTAAGCCTTAAGAAGAGATAAAGTGACTTAGCCATGATGGTCAGGAAGCCACACCAAGGTGGTGGTTATTAATAGCAGAGAGCAGGAGGGGTGTGGACACAAGGCAAGTGTTGCTGGCTTCTAAACCTTCCCCACTGGCCTTCCCAAGAATGGAAACCATGAGTCTCAGGCCGGTCCCATGACTGTCCATCAAGCCATAATTCTTCCTAGAGCTCTACCAGTCCTGGTTTTAGGAGGTCATCACTGTCACTGGTCTGTCTTGGAGAGTTTGGTTGTTGCATAGTGTCCGCAGCCCCGTGCTGTCTTTATCCAACTAGCATGGATAACGGTAGCAGTGAAAACATGGTTTTGAACATGTGCTAGCTACCAGAGTCCGCACAGAGCCTCTAGCCTAGGTGACCCCAGCTGGAGGTATGCTGGTATGTACTATACTACATTCGCTCCTTCACTTTATTCTGGTATTTTATAGGAGCTACCCCATCATGACTAGCCCCACCAGGCTGCCGCCAGGCCCTCCAGTCGCATGCAGTTTGCCGTCATATCCAGGACCCATGACCACAATACAGATAACGTAAATAGGAAGATGGGACACCAAGGGGCTTCTTGGGCTTTTAGTCCAATCCCCACGTTTGCAGGCAGCCATGAGTCCAAAAGGGTCCAGAGCACTGTCCACTCCAACCCATCTCATATCCTGCAGCTGCAAAGCAAGGGGAAAATCTCTCCCGTCTCCTACAAGCAAAGAGGGGGCCCAATTTTAGTGAAACGTGTGTGACTTGGCTGTGTAGATGGGACTTCAGAGCCTTGCTCACAGTTGCACATGGCACTGGTGGCAGAGCCTGGAAAAGTAACATGGTTCTTGCCTGTGCTTTAACCACAGCACCATGGCTCCTATTACTGCTACTTACTGTACACCTTTGTCAGCTAGGCCGTTGATCTGCACTGAACCCCTAAGAGGGCTGATTCGTCCATGTGCTCTTCCTGTGTTTTGGATACAAGGCTTGCAAGAAAGCCCCCAATCTCTCGGCTGGGGCTGGCGGGGAATTTGGTTTCCAGAGGGTCGTGACACCTTGACAGCTCCCTTGCGAGTCCCAGTTTTGTGCTGCTTTCAAAAGGAGCCCAAGCCTCCATTTCTCAGACCTTTTGCACATGTTTCCCCTTCATGGGTGCACCGAGGCTACCCGCCTTGCAGAGATTAGGAGCAGAGCGATATGTCGCAGTTTTAGGAGCACGGAAAACGGTGAGGCCTGCTCTGGGCCCCTTTCCAGCATCAAGCAGGCGAGAGAGTTCAGAGACTTGCCGAGCTGGGAGCAGGGAATGGCTTGCACGGTGCCTTGAGCATGTGCAGAGGGAACAGTAGGTGCTCTTCACTTCTAAATCCTGGGTGCTCAGCTCTTACATGCCTTCAGCCTGGGAGAGGAGGGAGGTCAAAGGAGGGGGTGGCTGCAGGGGCAAGCCTGGCAGCAGGAATGCCCTGTGAGTGCAAGATGAGTGGGCCCCAGGGTGCCGGTCTCTGGGTGGCACTGCGGGACCTGTGTCTTCAAGGCAGGTGGCGCTCCTGCTCCTCTCCCCATGGCTCACCGAGGACTGTTGAAGCGAGGGAGTCTGTTTCCTGAAACCGGATCCTCACCGTTGACAGAACAGCCTCTGTCATCGGTGCCTCTAGCCATGGACCTGCGAGCAGAGCTTTTAAAATCCATCTGGTACGCCTTCACCGCCCTGGACGTGGAGAAGAGTGGCAAAGTGTCCAAGTCGCAGCTGAAAGTGAGTACCACTTGCAAAGGGACAGCAGAAGGGCCGGGGTTTTGGGGTGGTTTGGCTTTGATGCACTCTCCAGCCGGCCCCCGGGTTGCACAGATGCGTGGCGAGGCATGAAGCAGGACTCGATGCTGCTTTGCAGCTGCCTGGGGCTCAATGCCGCGAACAAGTGGCTGCACCCTCCTGCGCAGTTAGCAGCATCCTGGTGCATTCGTGTTCTCTGGCTTTGCTTTGTGTTCCTCAAGGAAGGAGGGGGGGAAAGCAGTGGGGACTTAACCAAAAAGTGTGGCTTGAAAGGAATTCTTTTTTTTTTGGGTGGGAATCTAATGTTTTAGATGTTTTGCCATTTCTCCCCCAGCACCCCACCTTCCCCTCAGGTAAAAACCCAATCTCCATTTTTTTTTTTCTTTCTCTTTTTAACACGCGCGGCGCCCATCTCCTTCCTGTTGTATGTCGGCCCCTCGGTTGAGAGGAAGAGCGTTTTTAAAAATGCATCTCCTGCATGGTTTGGCCAAAAATAACGTCTTTTTTAATGCTGATCAGAACCTAGCAGCTTTGCAGAAGTATAAAATATGAGCCCTAGTGTTCTGCGCCTCTTTTTTTTCTTTTTTTTCAAAGTAAAATGTTTCTTCCACCCTGTGATATTAAATAACAGCCAAAAAAGTTTTCCCTTTGCTCCGACAAGCCTGGCAGGTTTTTCCATCCTCCGGTTTGGCTTCAAAAGTAGCGGCAGGTGATGCTTTGGCTGCTGGAATTTGAGTCGGACGAACTTGTTTGTTCAGAAGAGATTCAGCCTTGGGTGTAAACACAGCGTACAATGTTGCCGCAGAAGCCCTGCTAGCACGTGCGACAAATTGGGAAATGGAGCAATTCATTTGTGTGAAGAGGCAAACCTTAGATGGCCTCTGCAGAAGACAAAAGTCTGTTAGCCTTGGAGGTGCCATCCGGCCCCACCTTCTGCCTGGCCTTGGATTAACACAGACCTTAGACGGTCTCCTCACACGATTATTTCTCCGTGTTAGGGCTGATTCATCCATCAGCAAAATAGCAGGGAAAAGATCTCCGTTCTTCTGGGCCACGTTTTGCTGACCTTAATGGTTTGGCTTGCATAAGGGGCTGAGGGAGGAATGCAGGGCTGAGGTCTTGGTGCCGTGGTGCTGTCTCGGCAGAGGACTCGTACAGGGTGGTCAACGTGCTTCTAAGAAACCTGGAGCTGCCGCTGTCTAGGGGCCAATCCCACTGCCGTGTGCGCCCGGTGAATCAGTTGAAAGACTAGTCGCTCTGAAATGTCTCTGGGGAAGCAGTGGCTGAACTAAGTTCCCCCGTCCGCTAGCTCCCCGAGGGTGCTGCAATGGGGAGGCAAGGCGATGAGCAAATCAAGCCATGATGGCAGATGGAAATGCAGCCCTCACCGGATGGAGGCAGGAGGGCTGGGCAAGCTTGTTGGCTCAGCGTTTGGTAAGATGGGACCCAGCTGGGCACGTAGACATGCAAAGCAATGTTCAACGATTAGCCCCTTTCCAGGGCGGGGGCTGTAAAACTGGCACCGCGTTCCCTGATGGAGCTGCTCTTTGTGCCTGTTAGAGACCTACCTGTCCTCTCGGGCACTATGGAGCACTTCGTTATTCTTCTTTGCCGTGAGGGCCCAGTTGCTCCTGCCTGACTTGGACTGTATCCGGCTGGATGCAGGATTAATTTAAGGCTGGATTTACAAAGGTGTCTGGGTGCCCACCCCTGCAAAGAGGCTTCTGATGCAGTTGGCAAGCAAGTCTGAGCAGGTTTCCCCTCCCATTGACAGTCCATAGGAGCAGCCGCCAAACTTCCCTGCACGAGCATGGCGCTCGGTTGAGTTAGGGACCTGCTCCAATGGCTGTTGAGGGGAGTTACTGCACCTAACCTTAGGCACTTCTAAAAATGCCACCAGGCATCTCTCTGTATCCCTGCTCAGTTTGGCCCCAAATTCAACGTGCAGGGGGACAGCTTGCTGCACAGTCTCCCTCTGGAGGCCTTGGTATCGCTTGAGGTTGGATTTAGTCTAGTTTCTTTAGGGCTGCTGCCGAGGCTTCAGGCTGAAACCCCCAGAAAGCGTGCACAGGGCTGGAGGGCAGGGTTTGGGGTGGGCAGGGGACGAGAGCCCCGCTTTTTGTCAGCTAGGCCGTTGATCTGCACCGAATCCCTAAGCGGGCTTGGTATGAAATTGCTTCTTAGAGCTCCCACCCCAACCCTCTGCCTCTCAAACCACTATTTCCACTGCTTTGGTAGCGAGGGGGAGGGGACATTTGCTCCTCGTCCTTCCCACGCTGGGCATGCTCTGTCCTGTGTTGAAAACGGCTATGCACATTAGTTCCATGGTGAAACCCAGAGTTGTTGGGGTCTCACTCGAACCCTAGGCAGGGCAAGGTATGATTGCCAGCCCCCTCTGGTACAAAGGATTGTTCGTCATGCACTGCATAGGCCTCTGTCCCATGCAAGCCTACCTGCTGCTGTAGTTTAAGCACGTCAGAAACAGTGAGTCCGTGAAGCTCGGGGTTGGAGATCTCAACACGTCATTGCAGGCTTCCTGTGTTGTTGTCTTACGACTGTTAATCAGCTCTTGCCGCCTGGCATGTTGCTACAGGAAGGGCCTCGAACAAAGGAAGGCAAGCGTCTGCTGTCAGACAGCACTGACAGCAACTGCAATCGCTCGGGTACCTGGCTCAGCCCGGCAGTGCCACACATATTGTGGGTCTTGGGCGCTGAACTCTTTTTAAACTGATTGGACATGTATATTTAGTAGTGGCTGTGTTGCTTTCCTTCCTACCAGTGTGTGGCAGCAAGGAGGTAGGAAGCCATCGAGTCACTGATGATAGTCATCCAGGAAGGGGAGACAGTCTCGTAGGCACGACCTGTGAGTCAGGAGCGCTGGGGGCAGCTCGCTGGCACAGACGTGGCATGATCCCATCCACATGTCGTTACCGTTGCTGTGCCTCTGTTCCCATCTCTAGAAAGGTGGGAGCATTATTTCCCATCTCCCCAGGGTGCTGAGGTGCCATTCGTGTTTGTGCAGAGCCCTTGGTGGCACAGGTGGGGTAGGCCACATGAACAGCGAAGTATGGGAGTATTGTACATTGTGCTTGCCCTCGTGCTAGCTCTTCTGCTAAGCTTTTCTTAACCTCCTACAGCCAGTGGCCAGGGGAGAGACCAAAAGAGACGCTTTTTCCTGCAGAATTAAAGGGTTTATGTTGGGAAAGGGCTTCCGGTTATTACTAAACCCTTTGTGAGCACAGGGAAAGATCAAGAAAAGGGCAAAGGTAGCCCTGGTATAGGGGGTGGCTGGATTCAGAGAGACCCAGGGAGGGTAAATGCTTAATTACTTTCACTACTGGAGACGGTAAGGGCCTGGTTTTGAGGGGCTGAGCACCTGCAGCTCCTGCGACGCTGTTGGGAGTTCTGGGTTCTCCGCACTTCTGAAACCTGGGCCCTGAGCTCACCTGTCCCACAAGGCCCTGGAAGAAAATAGTCGGCTTGTCCCCAGGCTGCAAAGCTGTTCGTGTGGTTTTGCCTGTAAAGCCCCACTGAGGCCTCGGAGTCACTCAGGACCATGCTGCTTGGATGCAGGCCGCTCTCCTCTGCTTTTCTAACCTAAAGGCAGGCAAGGCTCTTTGGGTAAATCAGCTATCTTTTATTAGATCAACTCAAATAGTTGGACAAATTCTTCTTTGCAAGCTTTTGGGTCTGCCTCTGTCCTTACCAGCATGGCTACAACCTACCGCCCTTTCTAACCTAAAAGCACCTGCCTGAAAAGTAGGTTCTTCTTTTCTTGGAGGTTCGTTTCCTCCCTGTTGTTTTGTTTCTAGCTTATCCCTAAGCAGTAGTCTTCCTGAGAGACACCTAGGTGCTTTCAGGACCTATCGGCATCAGGAGTCTGGATTTTCGGAGTGGCCAAAGGTAGTTTGGTATCAAGATGTCGAAGGGATTTGGATTCCTAACTCCTGCTGGCTCCTAAATCCTTCCCTGCATACGCAGGGGGATGTCTTCGTTGCAGTTACGCCAGGCTCTTCTCAGGAGAGTTTGCTCTTATCCCCTGCTCCCCATCTTAAGTCATCAGCCCAGAAAACCCTCTCCCCTGAGTTTGGTGGTGCTTTCACCTGAGCCAGTTGGCCCACGAGGGTCTCCCCATTTGTTTAGCAGGGAGCGTGCAGGCTAAGTCACTTGAGCTGGGCTAGCGCTCCAGTGCTTTTCTACAATTCCCTCCTCAGGCCCTTAAGGAAAGATGCATTCTCCCACAGTTTACTGGAAAGCAATCCTAGACTCACTCCGCTTACTGCCGTGCCATGAACCGTGGGGATATTATGCCCAGTGCGGAGAACACCCTTGACTCAGAGCTTTGCCATGTGACTGCTCCCATGCAGGGGCCCTTCAACCCTACTTATTTCTGCAGTGAAATCATCACTGCCGTCACACCAGTTGAGCTAACAGGGCTGATTTTCCAACTGATGGAGATAAACCAGGACAGACCTTTGTAGGGGGGGTGTGGACAGACCAATAAATCATCCTGGAGTTAAAAGGGGCAACACTTCGCCACGACTCGCATGCTGCTGCGTGGTAACCGTCCACGTACACCCTTGCCCCACGGTAATAGAGACTCAGGCATGGTAGCTCAACTCTTACTGAAAAAGGAATAAGTTACACTGTGTGTAGCTTCCATTTACTGTGAGCTAAGAGTGTGCACATGGGCAGCTGATGTGCAATAAGCCCCTGCCCACTACCTTTTTGGGTTGAGCTCTTTATATGTCTGCACCCAGGGAGTCTCAACTCAGCATAGACCTGGCTTTTATCAGTTTAGCTTGTGTTGGTCACCTTAAATGGAGTCTCCATGCTGGGGGAGGTTGCACCTGTTGGTAGTGGATTAATTATGAGTTAGAAGCATGAGGTTTTATTGACACAGAGCCACATAGCTGCTAGTGTGGATGCGGTGCTACCCATCAAAAGATGCCTTACAGTGGGATAGCCTATTCCTCTTCCTG